TACTACTTATCCCGTTCAACGCGTTAAAAGAGAGAGGAGGAGAGGAGAGAAAGACCCGACCTGATTGTTTCGGCAAGTTCTCCTTTGCACTGGTAACCAAGGCAACTCCCCCTTCCAGGATGATGAAGTGCTCCCCGCTAGATCCCCCCAAGAGCAGTCGCGCTAATTAAACGCCAACCCGAGGCACCGTGGGGTTCGCCACAGGCTCCGACAAGCCAGAGAGGGTCTGCTGGAGCTCTTCCTGCCCCCCCCCAAATAAATAATAGTGATAATAAATAGAAAACGGGCCCCATTTCTGGGAAACTCCAAGCAGATCCTTAGGACTTTCCCTATGAAGAAAGGGTTAAAGTGCTTGCGGCTCTTTAGCTTGGAGGAACGACGATGGCTGAGGGGTGACAGGATCGAGGTTTATGAGATTATGCGTGGGATAGACCAGGTCGAGGAAGAGGTCCTTTTCTCCCTTTCTCACAATACAAGAACTCTTTGTGGGCACTCCATGAAATTGCTAAGCAGTCGGGTTAGAACGGATAAAAGGAAGTCCTTCTACACCCAATGAATGACTAACACATGGAATTCACTGCCACAGGAGGAGGTGGCAGCTACAAGCATGGACGGCTTCAAGAGGGAATTGGACAAACATATAGAGCAGAGGTCCATCAGTGGCTGGAGGTGTTGGTGGCCAAGAACCTTCTAGCTGAGGAGAAGATTATCAGAGCAGTTAACATGTTACACGTGGTGGATGGGACCGATTTATGTTTTGCAACATCTATGTGGCAAACACATGGCCGCGACAAGGACTTCAAGTCAGATGTGTGCCTGAAGTTTTGTGCTGGGAAACTCCATTATGCGTAGATAGAGCAGGTGGAGAAAGAAGTCCTTTTCTCCCTTTCTCACAATACAAGAACTCTTTATGGACACTCCGTGAAATTGCTGAGCAGTCGGGTTAGATAAAAGGAAGTCCTTCTTCACCCAAAGAGATATTAACACGTGGAATTCACTGCCACAGGAGGTGGCGGCAGCTATAAGCATGGACAGCTTCAAGAGGGAATTGAATGAACATACAGAGCAGAGGTCCATCAGTGGCTCTTAGCCACAAGGTCTAGGTAGGAGCGCTCAGTCTGGGGCAAGGGATGCTCTGTATTCTTGGTGCTTGGGGGGGGGGCAACAGTGGGAGGGCTTCTAGTGTCCTGGCCCCACTGCTGGACCTCCTGATGGCACCTGGCATTTTTGGCCACTGTGTGACACAGAGTGTTGGGCTGGATGGGCCACTGGCCTGATCCAACACTGGCTTGTCTTATGGATAAACATCTGGAGCAGAGGTCCATCAGTGGCTATTAGCCACAAGGTACAGATAGGAACTCTCAGGCTGGGGCAAGGGATGCTTTGTATTCTTGGTGCTTGGGGGGGTGGCAACAGTGGGAGGGCTTCTGGTGTCCTGGCCCCACTGCTGGACCTCCTGATGGCACCTGGTATTTTGGCCACTGTGTGACACAGAGTGTTGGGCTGGATGGGCCATTGGCCTGATCCAACACTGGCTTCTCTTATGTTCTTATGAATAAACGCATGGAGCAGAGGTCCATCAGTGGCCATTAGCCACAAGGTATAGAGAGGAACTCTCGGTCTGGGGCAAGGGATGCTCTGTCTTCTTGGTGCTTGGGGGGAAGGGGAGGCGGAAACAGTGGGAGGGCTTCTGGTGTCCTGACCCCACTGGTGGACCTCCTGAGTGCACCTGGTATTTTTGGCCACTGTGTGACATAGTGTTGGACTGGATGGGCCATTGGCCTGATCCAACATTGGCTTCTCTTATGTTCTTTCTTTTCGAGTCACAAAGTAGTAGAACCACATTCTCACGCCTCCCTCTTTAACAAACCTGCCGCTTGCCTTCAATCTGTAATGCAATATGCAACCCGGGGAGAGAAGAAAACGAGGGGTTCCTACCCTGGCATTATGAGGAGCGCTCTGCCGAGGGGAGCCGGCCCACGTACTCAGCTTGCTCGCTCAGAGGGGACCCTCCGCAGGGACGTCCTGTGCCCTACGCAACCCCAATTACCTGTACAGCTTATTTCATTCTGGGGTGACGTTTCACATCCGTAGCAGCCTCCTAGGCTCATTCAAGTCCCCTTTTCAATACAGCACTTTACAAGGAACACAAGGGGGAAAGTCTTCCAGCAATTCGATTCTCAGTATGAAAAGAAGACATTGCCTTTGAACACCCTTCGTTTTGTATCGCCATGCGGGGGGGGGGGGGGATCACACACACTCTCTCTCTCTCACACACACACACACAAAGCTTGTAGAGCACAAGTTCATGCACAGCACTTCCACCAAAATAGAACTACTTTGAAGCTTATGCAACGCTCATTAAAGATACAAAACCACTCAGAAACCAGAGCAAAACATTTGAGGCCAGCGTGCCTCGGTCCTCTACCGAGTTAACGGTTTCTTCTATATAAGCCGACGCCATGGGAATCCACCTACGGGCATGATCCCATCTTGCTGCTGGGGGCAGTGACTTCGGAAAGGGCGTTCCGGCCCCCTACCTCGTTAATTCAGAGATGACTGGACAGACGACGGAGCACGAGAAGGGATCAGGTACCCAAAGGAGATGTAAAACCGCCTGGACGTGTTAAGTTGGGAGGGGGGAGAGACCATAACTGAGGGGCAGAGCACATGTGCGGGACACAGAAGGCCCCACGGCTCAGTCTAACCCTTCCAGTAAAAGGATCTCAAGGTAGCAAGAAGGAAAGATGAGATTAGATTACTGCAATGCAGTCTACACGGGGCTGCCCTTGAAAAGCATTTGGGGACTTCTGTTGGTGCACAGTGCTGCAGCCGGCAGGTGGACTGGAGTGGGCCGTAGGAACCTATCACTCCAGTCTTGTCCCATCTACACTGGCTCCCAGTTCGCTTCTAGGCACGACTGAAGATGCTGGTCTTGACCTTCAGAGCCCTATATGGTTTGGAACCAACGAAGAAGAAGAGGAGGAGGAGGAGGAAGAGGAAGAGAAAGAAGACGAGGAAGAAGAAGAGGAGATTGGATTTATACCCCGCCCTTCACTACCCAAAGGAGTCTCAGAGTGGCTCACAAACTCCTTCCCCTTCCCACAACAGACACCCTGGGAGGTAGGCGGGGCTGAGAGAGCTCTTGCCAGAAACTGCTCTTTTTCAAGGACAGCTCTTGTCAGAACTACGGCTTGCCCAAGGTCATCCAACAGGTGCAAGTGGAGAAGTGGGGAATCAAACCCGGTTCTCCCAGATTAGAGTCCGCGCACTTAACCACGACACCAAACTGGCTCTCAAGCCAATCCAAAGAGTTTAAACTGCTGGACACCCAACCTAACTGTAGCAAGTCAAGGAGACCAGAATCATCTAAGCTCTGTAACTGCCCAGGACCGACAGGGCTGTTGCACCAGAAGGCCTTGCCTGTAACTCAACCCTTGCCTGTCAGAACTACGGCTTGCCCAAGGTCATCCAACAGGTGCAAGTGGAGAAGTGGGGAATCAAACCCGGTTCTCCCAGATTAGAGTCCGCGCACTTAACCACGACACCAAACTGCTCCCTTATGAACCCGTCCGACCACTATGGTCATCTTTGGAGGCCCTGCTTTGCGTTCCGAGACTAGGCAACCCCGGGAGAAGGCCGTCTCAGGCATGGCGTCAGAGCTCTGGGACTCTCTCCCCAGAGAGACTCGCCTCTCCCCCTTCTGATGCCGTCTTCCTCCAGGAGGTGAAGGCTTTCTGTTTCGTCTGGCATTCTCTCAATGCTCCCTCCTTCCTGAACAATGTTTCAATTGTTGTTTCTGTGTCAATCAAATCTCCAGCAGCCAATCAGAAGCCTTGCTGGGCAAAAGCCCCACCTGGCCCTGCCCGCTTTCAATGTTTCCTCTAAGCTGTGGAGTCTCGTGAGCAAAAATTCTCCTTTGTGAGGTACTGGCATTAAAGTTGTGGGCGAGCGATTTGGCCGCTGCATAAATTAGTCTGCTCTGGAGCCGTCCTTCCTGAGCTAAGACAAAAATGTGTGAGCCGGAGGCTAGCTCACAGTAACTCAGCTTAGAGGGAACACTGCCCGCTTTCTAAAAACACTTTGGTTGGCACCCACTGCAGCACCACGCTGAGGACCCCCGGCCTAGGGAGCAGAATTCTCCTCTCTGATCTCCCCTCTGCTTGCAAATGAAGAGCCAGGAGACTGTAACACACAGAGGGACCGTCACTGCAGATACAGAGGGTGAGCATCATCGGCGTGCCTCCCCCCCCCCACTGCAAACCCCACCTCCTCACACCAAGATGCACCACTTCGTTTACCATGTGCCACTCGGAACGGGCTCATGCACTACTCAACACACACAACATGGCTGCACTCCATGCCACAGTGTTCGTACTGGGCTTGCTACGCAAGTCAACCATTACACAAACACCTCCATGCCAGCTCCGGAGACGTGCACGAGGAACACCACGTCATCTTACCAGACTGGTTTTCAAGAAATCATGTATTGCAACAACGCTCTCAACTGATGGGAACGCAGCCGCCTCAAGGTCTCTGGATTCTGGAGACGTGGGACCCCACCTTTCTATGCAAAGAGCACACACACAGCAGCGGAGCCCCGGCGTGGGCAGTGGGAAGCGAAAGTGCCGTATGCACCAAAATGTGGCCCTCAGGCCGAGGGACTGGCTCCGAGCAACACTGTGCCGAGAAGCGGCTTCCCCAAAGAGGAGCCATTTTTATGATTAGTGGGTAGTAGAGGAAGCAAGGACAAGCGCGTTAAAGAGAAGCTTTGGAGTTCGGCTCACACGACCACTTCTTCGAGGAAAAACTCAGGTGTCAGTGCTGTGAAACAGCCAAGCGGATTCACACGGGCTCTTAGAGACAGCCAAGACACACTCATGCCGGGGACGGTTGTGCGTCGGACGCGGGATTAACAGTTAGGTGCTCAAGCCAATGCGCCGAGAAAGAGCGACGCCTCACACACAAGCCGTAGGGGCCGCAGGGGCATGCGCACACACCTCTCTCTTGCCTCGGCGGGCCCAGCCCATCCGGCTTCACGGGCCGTCTCTTGCCCGGCTCTGGAGCGGCCGCTCGCAGCGGGGGAGGAGGGAGTCCTCTCGACTTGGTGGGTCGCATGTATCCTTTGATCTGCTCTGGGGCTCTGGCTCTTTCCTCTCTCTTGGTCTCCCTCGGGGCTTGGTCAGGACGTTCCGCGACCGCCTGCAGACCGACCGCTGCGCCTGGGCCGGTTTCAGAGCCGGGGACCACTCGTTCAGCGGCCTCCCTCGCTGCTTCCTCCCGGCCGATCACAGGTTCGGTCATGCCACCTTGTTCCGAAGGCTCAGAATAGTCTTGGGGTTTATTAGCAGGAGTCGCTTGTGCCGGGGGGACGTCCTCAGAGGCCTTATCTACCCTTGCCGTACTTCCTAAACTCTCTGGGCACTCGGATATCCTCTCTTCACCCACTTTAGCGCCTTCGCTCAACCCCGTGGGTTCTCCGCTGCCACCGACCAGCACTGCTGTCAGAGCCTGAAGTGCGACAGCTTCTTTGTTATTCTCCCAGGGAGCTGGAATTTCTGCAGGGGGGGTGATGACTTCTATCCCAGCAGAGCAGCTTCCTGATGCTGCAGCAACTGCGCCCCGAGCCGCCTTCTCCTCCGGCATCACTGCAACTAATGCTGAAGAAGAGAGCCCAAAGCCTGGCGTTTTGTCCAACAGGTTTACTCCTCCGCCTTCCACTTCTGCGGAAACGGGGGACGTTGCCCGGTCTTCTGCTCTGGCGTCCTGTTTGACGACCTGGTTGGACGAAGCCTGCTTGGCTTTCTTCCTCTTCTCCCTCGTCTTGTCCCCTGCCTTCACCAAAAGGGAGGCCTCTATCATGGCCTCTCTGAATTCAGCCGCGGCCGAATCTTCCTGGAGATCAGGCTTCTTGGCCTTCCGCTCCTCTCTGCTCGAGTCTTCCACTCCTCCTGGAGGGGAAAGCGGCTCCTTCGTTAGTCCCGCTGCAACTTTGCCTTGATAGCTGAGAAAGGGGCACTGGCTCCTGGGATTCGCTTCATCCAGAGGAGACGGCCCCGGTGAACCAAAGGGGCCAAGGAAGCTCACTGTGTTTCCATCCCAAAGCATCGGATGCCCCGGAGGGAAGCTTTTAATGTTTCGGTTTTCGTCCACAAACTCCATTCCTTCCAAGGCGTACTCCAGCCCGGTCGCCTTGGGATGCTGCCCTTGCTTCGGGTCTGCCTTTGCAGGCGAAAGGACGGGCTCCTCTGGGGAGCTGGTGGTCTTTTTGCTTTTTCCGTCGCTGCCCCGCTTTGCGGGTTTCACGCCAGGATCCTGCCTGCTGGCCGGATCCAAACCGCCGTCTCTTGGCTCTTTCCTGCGTCTATCGGAAGAGCGCCCTTTAGGCTTATCATGGATCTCGGCACCCGGAGCCCCCTCTGCCTCGGCCCCCAAAGGAAGCGGATGGTCCACACTAGCCCTGCTCTTTCTATCTATCCCATCATCCGCTCCTTTACACGTCTCATCGGCAGCCGGGACACGAGGAGCGTGGCCTGCAGCTTCTGGATCCCTCGGAAGATGGTCTGCAGCTCTTCCTTTGCCTGTGGCAGGGGATGGAACCTTCTCCACCTGACCCGGCTCTCGGCACGCAGCAGCCGGTCCAGCAAGATCCAGCTTTGCCTCCAAAACCTCATGAACTTGGGGCATCGGCCCGTCATCCCCGGGGATCTTTGGCTCTTCTTTAGCCGGCTCTCTGAAGGGGGGGTGCGCTTGTGGTGAAGCTATAGCTTCTGCAAGATGCTCCAGGGAAGCCAGACTAATCTCCTGCCCTTTGCGGGCGGAAGGAGCGTCTTTGGTTTTGCCGAGAGGCTCCTGCTTTGCGGGGCTCGTTCTTCGGGCCGAAGTGGGTGGCTGTTCGGAGCAACTGTTTTTGAGAGCCGTGCCGGAGTCCTTGTCCTCCTTTCCTTCAGGGCCTTCCACCGGCTTTATGGCGGGACACTGCGCTGGGCCTCCGCCTGGTTGCTCCGGAACTGTGGAGTCACTCTTGTCAACAGCACCCGTCTCTTTAGCGGCGCCATCCATCGCGGAGGACCTGTTCACCCTGGTGTCGGTTTCTGGCTGTTGTGTGGCATACTTGCTGGATTTTTTGCTTCTCCCATCGCTGGTCCTCTTTTTGGGCTTGCTCATCGGCAGCGCTGAACCGGGCTCTGCCACGACGGAGCCCTCTGCACTGGTGGGACTCGGGTCCTTGCCTTTATCGGACACGACAGCTCCCTCTGTCTGGGCGCCTGCTGCGAGCGAGGCGGGACATTCAGGCGCTTTGGTCGGAGTCTCCGTGATAAAGGGGTACGCTGAGGAAGGGAGATCAGCCCACTCGCCCTTCCAGGGTGGAGGCACGTTTGGTTTTCCTACTTGGGGCGTTGCAGAAAGAGCTTGTGGCTTTGCCGTATCTGCGGCAGCTTCCAACAACCGGCTCCCGGTTTCCGAGCCAGGTTCTTTATCGGGAACGACTTTCTCTCTCATTCGATCAGCAGGGCTCACCTCGATGGGAAGGCTGCCGGCGCTCTTCTCTGCCTCCGGGGGAAACAGCGGCCCAAAGAAACTTCTTTCGGCGGCCCTAAGGCTCTTCCCGTCGCCGCTCCTTTTCTTTGGCTTCTCCCCTGCCCCTGCAGAGCCGCGAGCCGCTTTATTCTCTGTGAGACCGGGGCAGATCGTCTCATTGCTGGCGGCACCGGGGCCCACTTCGGGGAGCGACACCACTTTCTCCACGGCCAGACCCCGCCTCAGATCAGCCATGTCCTCTGAAAGCGGCAGCCTCTGCTGCTGCGGCTGCTGCTCCGGGTAATTTTTTGCCTTCTTGCTTTTCCCATCGCTGCTCCTCTTTTTAGGTTGATCGGCAGCCATCCTGGGAACAGCCATGGCCGGCTTTTCAGGTGGACTGGAGCAGATGGCCTTGTTTGTATCAGTCAAAGGCACTTTCCCACTTCCAAGTCTTTCATCGAGGGCAAGGGGCTTCGCTGCATCTGAATGTGCTTCCCAGGAAAAGGGACTTTCTCCTGAACCAAAAGCAGGCTTCTCATTTCCCACTGGGCCGCTCTCATCTGACAGACGCCTTGCTTTCGGTGCTGGCACGGGCTCTGGCGCAGCTGGGCTGCTTCTTTCAGGGAACCTCCTTTCTGTGGGTGCTTCTGCAGCCTTCTCCTCTGAGGGAGCGTCAGTGGCTTCCTTCCCAGCCCTCCTGCCGTTTCCGTGCCCACCTGGCTGTCTGGGCTTCCCTTCCAAGACCGCATTTCCAGCCACTGGATCCTCTGGGGTCGCCTTTCCTCCTTCCACCTCTGCTGGTTTTGCAGCTTCCCCGCTCACAGCCACGCGGCTGCTTGCAGTGGGTCCGGTGTCCACAGCAGACAGGTCCAGGCCCACGTTCTTGGGAGACCGGCCCTCCCCTTCCCTGCTTTCCCCGAAGATGCTTATTGCCGCAGGGCTGGCTTGCGCTGGGGGGGACGTGGGGCTCCCCAGCTTGCTCCGCTCAGCGGGGCCCTTCGCCTGCTCCTTGGGAGATCCTTTCTTTCTGCTTTTAGACGGCAACCTCGCTCTGTCATCACCGATCATTTCCGCTCTGCCAAATTCTACTGCTTTTGCGTCCAGCTCGAGTTTCAAAGAGCTTTCGGTGTGCTGGATCAGCTCTCCTCCTGCAGGGGCGGAGGCCTGGCTCTGAGCGCCCGACGGCTGCCACTCCATCTCGCGCTTAGAAGTGTCTTTCCAAAGGACTCCCGCGGAGACACCTGTGACCTCTTGGGGGCTCTCAAGGGGCACGGCAAGGGGAACGTCAGGTTTTTGGGGCTCGGAAACACACGGGGGAGTTCTCAGCCGTTCAGCGGCTTCCTCCCACGCTTCCACTGACCTGGGGTGCTGGTTTCTCTTCTGCTTTGGTTTCTTCTTCTTCTTCTTAAACGCCGCCGATGCTTCCGGATCCCAGCCCTCTTGCGAGTCATCTCTCTGGCCTTCCGCAAGCTCAAACGGATGGCCAGCGGCTTTCCGAGGAGCGGCCTTGCCCCGCGGGGACGTCCCGGTGACATAGCCCCATTCTGGTGTGGCAAAGGGGTCTTCTCCGTGGTTGCGGCTCTTCTGTGCCGGGAATGGTGCAAGAAGCTCTGCCGGGGCATCTCCAATAGGTACTCGAGCAGGCTTTGCTTTGTTAAACCTGCGGTGGTCACTGGATTTGTTAGCTTGTCTGACTTGGGTAGTGGATACACCTGGAATACAGGAAGTTTGCTCAGCTGCCAGGGCACTGACTTATCAAGAGTAACTCACCAGAGTGCCAGAGGCCTTACTTGTCTACCCCACTTCAAAATGCTGCCAAGTTTGGAGAAGGTGGCGGTACTAATCCATCCTAGTGTATATTCACTGCTTACTGCCAATTTATCACACACTATGGGCAAAGTCTCCTGAAGATTCGCTGCATGTATGTTAAAGAACACGAGGCCACTACTCTTCCTTGTGCTCAAAGAGCTCTCGCGGCCCAAATTAAACGGGCTTTGGGACTCATTTTGCTTCTTTCTTAGAAAGATGCTCAAGCAAAAATATCCTAGCATTTCCTTGCAGGAGGAAACGAGGTGGTGAGGCATGACGCAATGTGCATACAGACACATGGAGAAGCCAAGTCGGCAAACAAGTACCAGCAGAAGGTGAAACTCTCTGCTGGAAGAACAAAGCCACCCCCTCTGTCCAGGATGGAGCGTTTGCTCCGTTCAACGGAAAAGGCTGCAGAGACCGATTTGGCAGAGGTGGGCCCCCGGAATCATCCCTCAATAGAGCAGTGGAAAGAGATTAAAGGGAAAGTGGAAGACATGCCAAGATTAAACTCCAGCACGAGTACAGACCACTCCTGTTAAGGGGTCTGCTATGGAACACTTGTCTGATAGCAGGGGTCATTTCGTAGAAAAAGAGGTGCAGGAGCTCATTAGCATAACTTATTAGCATAACTTATTTGCATAACTTATTTGCATATGCCACACCCCCTGACATCACTGGAAGTGTGTCAGAAGGCAACACCCACCGCTCAGGCTCCACTGGACTGTTTTGGATTGCTAGCTATTGGGGGGGGGGGATGCGCAGATCTGTCCTCGCAGAGGAGGGAGAGCTTGTACCTGAATAACACCTGGTCTTAAAGGTGCCACTGGACTGTTTTGGACCGGAGGGCTGGGGGGAGCTCTGCAACTTACCTGGCTGCTTCTTGCTCTGACTGAGGGCTGCTGGGAGCAGGGGGTGGAGCTTGTTGCATGTGCCCGCCCCCTGGGCTCTTTACTGCCGGAGCTCCGCTCCTGTGCGCTCCGGCAGGAAATGACCCCTGTCTGATAGCCAGAATTAAACGTTAAGCAAAAAGAATCTCAGCACTGGAGGTGGGGTGGGGGATAAACCAATACATGTTGGTAAAAGAGGGGAAAGATTGTGGTGAATCTGTCAGTGTCTGACACGGCTACCGGTCTAACGTCAGCGACCTAAAGGAGAGACCCGGCCTTGGCGCAGGGGCATCACGAAATAAGCCTAGGAAACCTCTTCCTCCCTTCGCAAAAGATGCAGGAGGCCAGTGCAGTTTGCAGGAGAGAGGAGCAGCCGGGCAGAGAGGGGAGACCTGCACTGCGAGAGCCGCCGCTCCTCTCCTGCTACTTCCCTTCCTCCACCTACCTTCAGGGTCCCGAGGGGGTTTCTCCTGGGGCTGCTCCACAGGTGGGCCTTCCTTTGGCTTCTCTGCTCCAGCAAGGTCAAGAGCCGCCGTTCCCGGAAAGGGCTCCTTCGGTTCTGCTTTGGGCTCTCCCACAGGCACAGGCTCCTTGGGCTCTTTTGGTAGGAGCAAAAGCACAAGGAATCTCATTAAAGCTGGGAGATAGTCCAGCCGGCCAAAAGCACAATCTTCAGGGGCAGGATTCAGCTATGAGAACTTAGGAAGAGCCCCGCTGGATTAGACCAGTGGTCTGTTGAGTCCAGCATCTTGTCTCACACAGGGGCCAACCAGTTCCCCTGGAGGGGCAACAACAGGGCAGAGAGGCCGAGGCCTTTCCCTGATAAGTACATAAAAAGAGCCCTGCTGGATCAGTCCACTGAGGGTCCATGCAGTCCAGCCTCCTGTCTCACACGGGCCAATCAGTTCCTCTTGAGGGCCGGCAACAGTGCCGAGAGGCCAAAGCCTTCCCTTGATAAGAACATCAGAATAGCCCTGCTTGACCAGACCAGTGAGGGTCCAGCTACTCCAGCATCCTGTCTCACACAGCCGCCAACCAGTTCTTCTGGAGGGCCTGAGAAGAACACCAGAAGAGCCCTCCTGGATCAGACCGGGGAGGGTCCATACACTCCAGCCTCCCGTCTCACACAGGGGCCAGCCAGTTCCTCTGGAGGGCCAACAGCAGGGCACAAAGGCAGAGGCCTTCCCCTGATAAGAACACCAGAAGAGCCCTGTTGGATCAGACTAGGGAGGGTCCATCCAGTCCAGAATCTTGTCTCACACAGTGGCCAGCCAGTTCTTCTGGAAGGCCAACAACTCATTTGCATATGCCACACACCTTGACAAAGGGCAGGCAGGGTACCCAGACATGTTCAAAATCCCCCCCCCTGAGTTTCTCCACAAAAGCGGAGAGGCTCATGGGAAAAGGGGGGCATGTCTTCCCGCCTCCCCTTCCCCTCCCCAGCCAACTCGCCATGGCTGGCTGGCTGGAGAAGAGAAGGGAAGGGCAGGCAGGCAGAACTTCCTGGGTTACCTGCCTGATCTTCTCCAGGTGCCCTGCAGCTGGGGAAGGGGAAGAAAGGCATTTAAATCCCCACCGGGGGGGGGGGGCCGCCCCGCCCCTGGGCTCCTTATTGCCGGAGCACCGTTCTGGTGCGCTCCGGCAGGTAATGAACCCTGTTTTTTTATAATTTTAAATTATGGGAGACTCCATTTGCCGCCAAGGGAAAGACAGGCTGGTGTGCCCATCTCAGTGAAGCGCACCCCTTTCCCATTGCTTTCCTTACCTGCAGGTTCTGGGAAAATCTCCACAGGTTTGGCTGGCGGCTGCTGATGCTCCTCATGCTCCTCGGCAGGTTTGCTGGGAGAGTCCTTGTTCCTCTTGTTGAGCTTCTCCAACTCGGGAAAGTGCTCCACAGGGCAGCTGGGAGAGGAGGGGGGCTTACTCTCTTCTTGCTTTTCCAAGGGGTGAGGAGGAGGGGCCGGGCTCTGCTCTACCTTCTCCGCATGCTGGCTGGGAGCAGGCTTGCTGTCTTCTACTTTCTGGACGAGTGGTTTACTGGTGGCCTCCTCTCTAGGCTGGCTGAGAGAGGCCTTGCTCTCATCTATCCTCTGGCTAGGAGCAATCTTGTTTTCTTCCGCTTTCTCATCTATCCTCTGGCTGGGAGCAATCTTGTTTTCTTGCACTTTCTCATCTATCCTCTGGCTGGGAGAAATCTTGTTTTCTTCCACTTTCTCATCTATTCTCTGGCTGGGAGCAATCTTGTTTTCTTCCGCTTTCTGGGCAGGCCATTCACTCTCTCCTGCCTCCATATGAAGGGCGGGAGAGGGCTTCTTCTCTTCTGCTTTCGGGCTGGGAGGAGGTTTAGCTGCCTCTTCTGCCTTACTCTCACCCACCTTCTCACTGGGCTTGCTTGCTGCCTCCTCCATCTGCTGGCTGGGAGATGGGCCGCTGCTTTCCTTCTCCTTGTGCTGGTCGGGTGAGGTCTTCTTTTCCTCCTGTTTCTCCAGTGCACAACTGTCTACAGCCGGGGCTGCTAACTCCGCGGCCTTTGTCTTTTGATCCTTGCTCATAGGGGCTTCTGGAGAGGCTGTCCCAAGAGAAAAGCAGGGTTGGTTTTTCCCATTCACAAATGCATGCAGATATGTTCTGTCCACCTGCACTCTAGTCTGCCAACCACGGGCAGGCTGATTCTCAGCTAACATCTTTTGTGTGCAAGAGACCACTCGCCAAACTGGAAAGCAAAGGCTGGAACCCGTGGACTCCTCAGAGCGTGGCCAAAGCCAAGACTCCTACCCCCACCCACCTGCTGTGGGCCTGGAGATCAGCAGCCGGAAGAGAATGAAAGCCTTGAGGTCAGCTAAGAGGACAGCCAGAGACATGCCCCACATCTGCCATATGGCACTGGAATACCAAACCAAACATACAAATTCTGCTAGGAAAAAACCATCAAAGATTGCCAAAATATATAAACTCTATTTAAGAATTACAATTTCTTATATCACAGTTTTAAAGTTGGTGGTGTCACAACATCAAAATAAGTGCATACTGTATAACTATAAATATAACTATAGACAAGGCACAGATTACAATGTTTCCTCCTTCAAAGATAAATATTGGTCCATACAGTTCTGTTCAACTTGATAGGAGGAATCCACGTTTGCAAAACATTTTCAAAAACAGCCTTTGCAAAAACGCCCGTTCTAGATACTTAAATGAGACGTTTCCATCAACTTCTTCAGTTTGCCGGCTGCATAGTTAGAACCCGATTTCAACAATCATACGAGAACCTATGATTCGCTCCTTCACACTGTGAACCTTGTTGTCAAGGGAAATTGTTGAAATTGGGTTCCAACTTGCAGCCGGCAAACTGAAGAAGCTGATGGAAACGTCTCCTTTAAGTATCTAGAATGGGCGTTTTTGCAAGGCTGTTTTTGAAAATGTTCTGCAAACGTGGATTCCTCCTATCAAGTTGAACGGACTACACGGACCAATATTTATCTTCGAAGGAGGAAACACAGTAATCTATGCCTTGTTTATAATATTTATAGTTATAGTATGCACTTATTTTGATGTTGTGACACCACCAACTTTAAAACTGTGATATAAGAGATTGTAATTGTTAAACAGAGTTTAAATACTTTGGCAATCTTTGATGGTGCTTTTCCTAGCGGAATCTGTATGTTTGGTATCTCGGTGACGCTAGTTTCCCCAGCTGTTTGCATGGGGCACTGGAAGGCTGAGACGATGACAAAGAGATTGTGGAGCTCTTACCGGCCTCCCCTTGACTTCCGCGTCAAACTTCTCGGCCTTGATTTGGATACCCAAAGCTAGCCCAGGCTTGTCAGATCTCAGAAGCTACGCAGGGTCAGCCCCGGTTTGTACTCGGAGGGGAGACCACCGAGGAAGTCCAGGGTGGCTACGCAGAGGCAGGCCACGGCAGACCACCTCTGTTGGTCTCTTGCCTTGGAATCCCAAAAGGGTTGCCATGAGCCGGCTGTGACCTAATGGCACTTCCCACCACCTCCATCAAGCTACTCGGGGTGAGGAGGGGGAGTGAAGCACCTAACTGTAACATGCTTCTGGATGGGACATTTTAGGATGATCCAGGGGTCATTTCGTAGAAAAAGAGGTGCAGGAGCTCATTAGCATAGCCTATTTGCATATGCCCCACCCCCTGACATCACCGGAAAAGTGTGTCAGAAGGCAACACCCACCGCTCAGGCTCCACTGGACTCTTTTGGATTGCTAGCTATTGGGGGGGGGGGAGCAGGTGCAGATGCGTCCTTCTTGCAGAGGAGGGAGAGCTTGTACCTGAATAAAACCTGGTCTCAAAGGTGCCACTGGACTGTTTTGGACCAGGGAGCTGGGGGTGAACTCTACAGCTTACCTGGCTCTTCTTGCTCTGACTGAGGGCTGCTGGGAGCAGGGGGTGGGGCTTGTTGCATGTGCCCGCCCCCTGGGCTCTTTACTGCCGGAGCTCCGCTCCTGTGCGCTCCTGCAGGAAATGACCCCTGGGATGATCGTTCTGAGTGCAGAAACTCACCCAGCCCACTCACTGGAACTGAGGGGAAGCCGAGCAGGATGTGATATCAGAGGACACCAAGGAGAATTAGTGGGTGGCCCAGGCGAGCCCGATCTTGTCAGGTCGCAGAACCCAGGCAGGGTCAGCCCCAGTTAGTACTTGGAGGGGAGATCACCAAGGAAGTCCAGGGTGGCTGTGCAGAGGCAGGAAACGGTAAGCCACCCTGTTCATCCCTTGCCTTGAAGACCCAATGGGGCCATCGCAAGTTCAGCTGCGACTTGACGGCATTTCCACCCTGACCCTCGCCCAGCTTCTTGGGGTGGGGGTACGGAGCAAAGCACCTAACCTTAAAAAGCGGCAGGCCAGGAAATTCAGGACAATCTCTCGGAGTGCAGAGACACACTGAGCCCGCTTAGTACGGCAGAGGGGAAGCAAGGCAGGATGCGATATCAGGGGACAAAAGGGAGAAGTCCCGCAGGGCCTGCAAGACGGAGCTCTTCCGCCGGGCATATGGTTGAGGCAGCGGATGCCCCCTCCCCTCCCCCCAGCTTCTGGCCAATCACCCATCAGTGGCCTGGATCTGATTAGACATCTGATTAGACACCGGGTTTGACTTAACGTCTGATCTCTCTGTTTTTTAACATGGTATCGGAGGATACTATTCTGTGCAAATTGTTATTGTAACGCTGTTTTAATTCTATTGTTCTGTTGTACACCGCCCTGAGCCCGTTCGGGGTGGGTGGTATAAAAATCAAATAAATAAAACAAAAATAAATAAATAGAATGAATGGGAGGCAGAGCAGGGTGAGGAATGATAGGGAGGGGCTAAGGGAAGAGCCTCTTCCCCCAGTCCTTGTCCCATGGTCTTCTTTGCAAGTCCTTACTCACAGAGAAGTGCCCGGCGACCTTGAGACTGCTTCACAGAAGGGCTTATCAAAGTGTTTCTCGCATGAATGAAGAACTGATGTCATTTTTAGGGGGTAACAACCACCACCACCACAAAAAAAAGGCCACGAAGCCTCACTGCGGACTCACTCACTTGCTAGCGCTTCCTTTGGAGGAAGGGTCCTCTGGTCAAACCAAGGTTCAAATCCCATCAGCTCTCCTGCTGTAGGGGCAGGACCTGCACTGCCTACGGGAGAGAAACCAACATGGACAGAAAGGTTAGGATCCACCACGCCCCTTCGTTTCTGAAGTCTGAAGACTGGAAGGAAGCACATCACCACGAAAGAGAACCGAACTGGGCCTTAGACGCGACCAGCACCGGCGGCTGCATGTTTGAAGAAAATGCACCCCAATTATGCCCCGATCCAAGCCCCCCGGAACTGGAAGACGGTCAAGTCCGCCTACCCATGACCAAGAAGCTCCAAAGCCAACCGGGCACGATGCCCCAGCTCTGACTGGCTGAGGAACCAGCTGTTTCAAGGCCTCTGCAGCACAAGCCACCGAAGCTATTTCATGACACGGGGCTCCCGTTTCCATCAGAGTAAAGCCATCACCTAATGCACACAGGGCTGCCTCACCTGCTAGGTGAACTAGGAATTCGCCTAGAGCGCAGGCCGGCCCTGGCCCTTTAGGGGCACCAAACAGGACCTCCCCAAAGCCCC